CCAGACACCTCCAAATTACAGCGTGCCTGCCATCTTCGGCTGAGCTCACTGCCGGCTCTTTTCGGTGCATCCTTGTAGCAAGTCGCTCAAAACAGCAGCGTGTCAGCGAATCGTCCACACAAAGCCAGTCGACGCATGCAAATTTAAGCAGATCTCATCGTCCTCAGCTTCTTCATCGCTTTCGTCGGGTCTGTCTAAAGCCTTGAGCTGTTCAAGCCTGGGTCATCCAAGTCAGGTCAATGCGAAAATACGCGTACGTTTTGCCGGACAGTTCAAAGTCCCAAAGGTCCGGCCCTTCAAATGTGATGCGGGTGGTTTTGCGTTTGGAGATCTCCTTGCCATCCTGCCGGGATTGACGTAGGCGCTTGACCGCATGCGTGTGCGATGGATACAGGCATGCACCGACGGTCCCTTAGGGAAGGTCGTAAGGAGACAGACGTTTCGGAGTCGCTGGCCACCTCCTGACGATGACGGTGCGGATTGCTCCGATGTGTCGAGCAGCTTCGAAATCACGCCGGGTCTGCACTTGCCGCTGCACTGACCACTGTGGAAGTTGCCGGCGTGTCGCAGTCCTGAAACCAGGAGGAAACTGCACACAGGGCACTTTCAACGCTGGCAGGATTTAGCAAACTCTTCGAAACCAAGCGGAAACACATATGACATCTTGAGTTGGTTCTGACTTTCGCATCCACCTGCGCTGAGACCGAGTGACCTAGTGTCACAAGATCAAGAAGATGCTTGACGGGATAATTTGAATGCCGCTTTGCATCCAAAGAAGGGCTCCTCTAAATGGGATACCAGGTAGGCCGGTGTCAGTGCTCCTCCGATGCTGGCCCTGTGCGAGCTGCTCAATGCATCACAACCGGAAAGTCTGCTGCCTTGCATGGAATACTACTAGTACTGCAACGGCAGTGCAACTTCGCAGTGTCTTGGTCAAGATATTGATACAGGCACATGCAAAGCAAGAGCGGTGCCGCGCAGCATAGGCCAAGCACGAGCACGGAATCAGCCAGCTTCCGTCACCCGGTGCTAAACCAATATGACGGCAGTGCTGGAGCTCAGTTCACTCTGTCACAAACTCAGCTCTTGGAACAAAGGCGCAGACGTTGATGTAGTCCATCGCCTCCCACTCAAGCATGCTTGGAAGATTCGGAGCAGCCCGCATGTTGCCTCTTGTCGGAGCGTCGGATCCGCCACTGGGATTCGACAGCCCTGGACTTTTTTGGGTTTCTCTTTCTGCACTGCAGATGGATCGAGGCCGACTGCCCGGCGTTCCATTCGTGTCTTTGTCAGGGCAGTCTTCTGCCTCAAGAACTACGTCCTGTCACCACTGGTACCGTTTTTGCCGATAAGAGCATGTAAGGGCCAAGCAGACACAGCGCGCTTGAAGTTGCCCGGAGCTGATGTTAGGTCCGCGCGAATCTGAACCTCACAGTGCTCCAGCGGCTCAGACGTCAGATCTGGTGAATCCGTGAATGAACAAAATGAACAGTCGATTTCCCTTTCGAGCGCGCGCTTGTTTTCGAGTGGTTTAGTCCGGCCTGTATAGTGTTACATCGTTTATGCGGTGAGGTTATGGTGCACGTCCAGCACGAATCCGCTCTTCACGTAGAGTGGCGAATGTGGCGAGTTTTGCCGCCTGATCAGTGCGCTATAGCGGTTGCCGATTGATCACATTTCCTTGACCCGAACCCTCCTTGGGCGATGCGTCTGATGACATTCCTAAACGCTCATTAGACGATAGTTTCCGATAGTTCTTGAATCACACTTTTTAAATGCACATGCGCTTATGACATCTCGGCGGATGGTCCCGCGTGTTAAACACACGCACCGGCGATGACATTCCTGAACCCGCCCTTGAGCACACTTCTTACACCCGCCCCCTCAACAGGCCCTTATCAGGCGATGGCGATGGATCACGTTCTTCACCCCGCGCCCTCATGAGGCGATGGTGGTTGGACGCGTTTCTTGGACCCCATCCGCCCCCTCAGCAGGGCGGCGGTCGACCGCATTGACTCACTAGACGATGGCGGACATCACCATCATCAACCACACCACCTGCCTGGTACCTGACCAGTAGGACCACTATCGTTCTCGTCAGCATCACAATCGTCATCTTTATTGCCATCATCATCATCATCATCATCATGGCCACCAACGGCATCATCATCATAGTTGACCATACTCTTATTCGCATTCATCTTCATCAACATAACCGTCACCAACGTCACCATCACCACTGAATCATTGCCACCAACATCGTCATGAAGAAGAGTACTAAGTGTTGTGATGGCACTCGCTACAATGACGGTGACATGAACACTACTAGCAGCGATAATGGATATACTATCTAGAAATAGTCGCGGTAAAGGTGGCGCTTTCCTGTGTTTCTGCTGCTGTTGTGTTCAACCTGGCTTGTCATCCTCGTGTACGATTGTTTCTTCTCTTTGCATGTCATTTCTTTCCTTCCGTCCTTCTTTCGTTCTTTAAGTTTGTATTTGTCCGCTGCGTTCCTTTTTTGCTCTGTCTCGGTTCTTGTCCGGTTTCTTCCTTGCTTTCTGTCCACTTCGTGGATCTTCGTTTCGTGCCTGGGGGGAGGAGGGGGGCACGGAAGGACCACAAGTGAGCCACACTTTTAAAGAACAAACACATGACCGGGTTGCAAAACTAACGCCAAAACACAGACCGGGATCGCACGGGCTTGCATCTTCAGGTGTTGTCGCCCGGTTGCGTTGCTGAGCACTTTGTGGTTGGTGTGCAAGAAAGCAGGCGTAGTCAGGCATGCTCCACGCACTTGTACCTGCAGTCACCAAGACTTTCTGAATATGCTCGGTAAAGTGTGAATGTCGAGGCTATTCTTCCCGGAGGCGGGATCTAAAACGCTGGCCTAGACGACTCTCACGTCTCCAACTGGAATGTGGTGACGTTTCGTCAGCTCAACTCATTTGTTGTGATTGCTTTCATGCTTGCTATTGTTCCCTGGGATTTGCGCACCTCGACATTCCAAAAACAAAAGACAGATGCTCCGCAGCCACGCCTTTGTCAGCCGCTCCACAGCTCCCTCCAACTCGTGCAGGACCGCCTCCTGGTCAGAAGCCAAGCACACGCTGCGTGCTGAGCTGAACATGGCCTTGCCTGCAGCGTGGAAAAATGGGGCTTCAAGGCATCCTGGACCTGAAACCGTGGCTCAGGGCTGCATGCAGCAGGTAGCGTAACAGCACCTGGCCATACCTGGCCATCCTGGCCTGTCTTTCCATCGGAGTCTCGAACTTTGTTGAGGGAGGGCCAGAAGCGCCTCTCAGGAAGTTTCCCGATTTGACGCTACCGCGAAGAGACATTGGCCCGGCCAAGGCCGCGCACCTTCCCTGCTCGCAACCTGAGAGGCACTGAATCGTGCCTCAAATGCAGAGCTACTGTCGGCTACCGGCTCGTGGCTACGGCCTTGTGATTCTGGCAAAAGATCATGCCAAGGAGCGGGTATATCTTCAGGCTTTCTCCCAAGCTGATCTTCTTTCTGCCTGTCATGAGCTCGTCTTGGCATCTTGAATCAGTCCATGTCCAAATGAAAGCTGCCTGGATCGCGGTTGCAGAAGCAAGGCGCGCAGACCCATCACACAGCCTTGGGCAAATTGTCTTCCAATGGCTGAGAAGGGTCAGTGCGCGGTTTCCGCAGTTCTGGATCCTTTCAAGTGCGTGCTACATACCGACCTAGCACTGGGGAGCACCTCTGAAGCCTCGGCCTTAGGTGGCCCTGCCTTGGCTGCACATGCCGGGCACGGCCGCAAGCCATGTATATTCACCCGTCTCGCGGCCCTGGAGTCCCTGGAGCCCTTCCAT